TGGTCTAAAGTTAACAGACAGTGTTTAAAAAGTGCAGTCCCCATGTTTACATATGTTTATTACAGTGACTTTGAATTACCCAAAGTAGTGTGGTAAAGCAACAGATTTGCTTTTATATTTCTGCAATCTATTTTAGTTTGTGTGATTTGTTACTGACTTTCATATTAATGTTTACACCAGGCTTATTTGTGCTTATTTGTTATTTGCTTTATGTTGTCATAATTATTACATGCTCACAAGGTTGGAAGTTCAACAAATCAGTCAATATACAGTGATTGTAGTTGTTAAATAAAAATGTCATTCATATCTTCATGCATCACCTAATTTCATCATACATATACATATAGGCCTGGCCTACAGAAAAGAACATTTATGTTTAATCTATCTAATAGTGTGTTGGTCATACTATACAATGATTTAAAGCTTGTCTTTGTTGAATAATACAGAACATAAAGAGCTTTAAAAAAATAATTGCATATTAAATCACAATCGCAATATTGGTTAAAAAAAAAAATTCGATTATTTTCCATAATCGTTCAACCTTATGAATGCACTCGTGTGGCTCACGTGCTCACCTGTGTACTGCTGCTGTCTGTTCACATCAGCTGCAGATCTGTGCGGGACGGCCGTGTGCTGCCTGACGTCGTCCAGTTCATCCGAACCTCCATCAGTGGGCGGGCTGGAGGAGACAGCAGTGCTATGGGCTTGAGTTTGAGGCTGGTACAGCGGGTTTAGCTCAACATGAGCCTTTTCCAGACCCGGAAAACAGATTATGGCGAGATACCAGTGTGCACTAGATGGACACAGAAAGACAGATCAGGAGATCAGAAGTCTAATTACAAAAACATGACAATACGCACAATACTTAGGCAGCAGATTTAAAATAAATCACAATGCATTTGAAGGCCAGTTCAACATGTTAAATTAGTGTAAAATAACCAGTAAATAGAAGGAAGGAAGACTTTGCACTGTCAAACTTTCATTTGAATGACAATGAAAGACATTCACATGCATTCTTCCTCAGGGTGGGCGATATGAACAAAATTTTATATCACAATAACGACATATATATCACAATATAGTTATTTTTGCTTTTAACTTATTATGCATTTATAATATCAAAGTTTTTGATACAACAGAATTTTCATAAATTCTTGTCACCAGTGTCAAGATCACAAAAGACTACAAAAGACTAATAAAATCCACAACCCCCCCCCCCCCCCCCCACTTTTCTCTCTAGTGTTCATTGTCTGTTTGATTACGTCTTTAATGGATTTTTCCGTACATTTCTGCCGTATGTACATTAACTGACAGTCACCACTGATAAGCTACCACTAAATATTGTAGAAACTTAATTTTCTGAAAAGCTGCTTTGCAACGATTTGTATCGTGAAAAGCGCTATACAAATAAACTTGAATTGAATTGATTAACCTGAATGACAGACAGGAGGAATAATAGGCAGCTTCCCCTTTAAGACCAAACATTCGGACACAATTTACTGTTACACATGCGTTTTCATTCTCAGCTGTTTACTTTCAGTTAAGACCTAAATTACAGTTTTTACGAGGATGCTTGCAAAGATGGGCATTTTCATACATATAAGTATGTGCATTTAACCATTCAAGGCCAATAAAGCAACAAAAATACTCATGTGCTCTATGAACAGAGGATTCATGTCTCACAGACAGCACAAGCATATAGCAATGTTGTTTGCATTTAAATGGCTTGAAATCACTCTTTTTTTAAACAGCAATGTTAAAAAATGTGTGCAAACGATACATTTTCGTGACCACAGCGCACCGCAACTTGACATGAGTGCATAACCGCGATAATACAAATTTCTACCGGCTAATCGTGTCTACCGCCGTATATATTGCCCACCCCTAATTCTTCCTGTTATGGTCAATTCCTCATGTAATCGATGGATAAATGGAGATAAATAAACTGTGTCTTACGACTCATTGATGGGCACAAAGATGAAGTCTTTCTGGAAGAGATCCACGTGACGTGTCCATGTCTTCACTCTGTTGTGTTTCCTCTTCTGTATGCTGCAACACATCATAAAGTCACATCTGAAATGCATCTAAGCACAGTAACTGAGCTCCAAGGAAATGTGAATATCTGAGATGATGACGTGAGCTCACGGTAAGTTGGACGCGTCGACCGCGTTTCTTCGTTCTCTCTGATTGAGTCTCTTATAGAAGAACGAGCTAAACACGTGACTGCGGATAGCATCTTCCTTCTTCAACTTCTCCAAAAACAGATATCTAGTAGCACACAGCACACGATTATCAGATAATGTTGAATTTATGCCCACTTACAAAAAAAAAAAAAAAACTTTCATGGTTTACAATTTTTATTGTTTTATAAAAACAATATTTAGTCACAACAATTAATATTGACTGAAATAAAGATAATGACTTTAAATAGAAGTCGATGATGACGTCGTTGAGAAACTCTCCGTCGTTCAGACAGTGGAGGTCCTCATTGGTTACAGAGATTCCTCCTTTAGCAGGCGGCGGGGGGTAAACCAACAACCTACAGAAACAAACAAATACAACACCAACTTCAACATATCTTTGGCGTTTTATAAAACATTTAAAGTGCCCCTATTATGGATTTTTGGAAATTAGCTTTCATGCAGTGTGTAACACAGCTCTAAGTGAATGAAAACATCCTGCAAAGTTTTAAATCTGAAAGTGCACCGTGTATAAAGTTATTGTCTCTCAAAAGAAAGAGTCGACTCTAAATCTTTGAAACAAGTCATTTTTAAAACGAATCCCAAGCCGTTTCATGTTGACGTCACACATGAAACATTAGCATATTGCCCGTCCACTTGTTGTTCTTTTCGCATTGGTCTGAATGAAAATGCAAATTCATTCTTTGCCACTAGGTGCCGCTTTAGGAGCGGTAAAAATAGCGGTTTCCTCTGTAACGCTGTACACAAAGCAGCATTGCGCTCACAAACACTGCTTTATCAGGCATCACAGGTGAGATGAAAGGAAAATGAGACCAATCGGACCAATCACCGCAGATTAGCGTCACGCAAAGGAGGGGTTTGGAAAAATGAATCGTTGAACGCGAATCATTTGGGAGTCGTTGAGCAAGTAAGGTAAAAATAAATGCATATTATAGAAGTCATGCAGAGAGAAGTCATTTTCACTACAAAAACAAGTAAAGACATTTTGATTAAACAAGTTTTTTTCTTCTTGCCAAGCTGAAATTAAATGTTGGAGCCAGAGAAGATAGTAAGTGGGAAGTGAAAATTTGACCAACAGGCCTGATTAAGCTAGCAGAAAAAAAAATGTAAGCACAGTACCCAACAACATAAAGGAAAAATAGAAAATAATCACTGTGCCAAATCATAGAGAAAATTGAAAACAAATGTGCCATGTGACACATGAAGATACAACTGATGTGTTTGGTTAGAGTCTTACTTTATGATCGGACCAGTGAAGGTTGGCTGGAGCTCTGCCATCTCGTCGTCCTCTTCACAGTACTCCTGGAGCCGAGCAGACATGCGCGTTCGCACGCTCGTCGCTGCACAAGAGACGGAGGCTGCTGGGGCTGGATTTACTGTTGCCACGGTAACCGTCACTACCGAAAAGGATGCAGAGGCTGATAGGGTTGAAGATGAAGGTGTTTCTGATACTGCAGCTCTCACTTCTTTACCCTGAGGTGAAGGACAAACATTGGCACCTTTAACACATGAGAATTAAACACATCAAGTCATAAATTTTTATTGTTTTATAAAAACAATATTTAGTCACAACAATTAATATTGACTGAAATAAAGATAATGACTTTAAATAGAAGTCGATGATGACGTCGTTGAGAAACTCTCCGTCGTTCAGACAGTGGAGGTCCTCATTGGTTACAGAGATTCCTCCTTTAGCAGGCGGCGGGGGGTAAACCAACAACCTACAGAAACAAACAAATACAACACCAACTTCAACATATCTTTGGCGTTTTATAAAACATTTAAAGTGCCCCTATTATGGATTTTTGGAAATTAGCTTTCATGCAGTGTGTAACACAGCTCTAAGTGAATGAAAACATCCTGCAAAGTTTTAAATCTGAAAGTGCACCGTGTATAAAGTTATTGTCTCTCAAAAGAAAGAGTCGACTCTAAATCTTTGAAACAAGTCATTTTTAAAACGAATCCCAAGCCGTTTCATGTTGACGTCACACATGAAACATTAGCATATTGCCCGTCCACTTGTTGTTCTTTTCGCATTGGCCTGAATGAAAATGCAAATTCATTCTTTGCCACTAGGTGCCGCTTTAGGAGCGGTAAAAATAGCGGTTTCCTCTGTAACGCTGTACACAAAGCAGCATTGCGCTCACAAACACTGCTTTATCAGGCATCACAGGTGAGATGAAAGGAAAATGAGACCAATCGGACCAATCACCGCAGATTAGCGTCACGCAAAGGAGGGGTTTGGAAAAATGAATCGTTGAACGCGAATCATTTGGGAGTCGTTGAGCAAGTAAGGTAAAAATAAATGCATATTATAGAAGTCATGCAGAGAGAAGTAATTTTCACTACAAAAACAAGTAAAGACATTTTGATTAAACAAGTTTTTCAACAATATGGTTTAGTAATTAAAATCATTTAATTATTGTCCGTGCAGAGGCTATTCCGTTTTATTGATCTATGGCGCATTCATTTTGATTCTTTACACGTGTAATGATGTCCAGTGACTTGTTTGCATTATTTATGCATAATTTTATTTATTTGTAAGACTTTTTTATGACTAAATTTGGTAATGGGAGAGTAAAAATATTTTTAAAACGTACACCGTTCAAACTAGGCTGCTTATGTTGAAGTGTTTGGGATGTGGCTTTTAATGATGAGACCTTTTTTGTAATCAGGCTCTCAAAAAGTATATAACAATTTGGATATAGATTTATCGGCCAACATATCGGTTATCGGCTTTCAAAAATAAAGAATAATCGGTTATCGGTATCGGCCAAAATTTTCATATCGGTGCATCCCTAGTGTCATATGTCAATAAGTCAGACCTAAAAATCTGAGTTTCGCTGCATTAGTAGGGCTCTATGAAATCCATTTCATTTTCCGGCTGAATACCTCAAGCGTGTGACAGAAATGTTACGCTTCTACCATACTGTGATGCTGTGTCCCGGCGCGATGAGACAACACCGATAAAACCCATTACAAACGAGGCATTTGTTACATCCAGTGGGGGGACATAATTACTAATTATAATGACTTATACTGTCTGACTTATAAACTTTTACGTATTGCATTGCATCGCGCCATGTAAACATAAAAACATGTCTGCATTTGTGATCGGAGAAACGACAAACAACAAGCGCTACTCTACACTGCTCAAAACTTGCGTTTGAATCGTCAGTGACAAATTCTTTAAAGTCGGCATGAAACGGAAGTTGCGATTGCCTTTTCTTCTCTGCTGTGACGTATATCCGAGTGAAACGGCATCTGAAATGAGAGGGCGGGACTTGATTTCGTCCTTCGGGAATTGATTGGAGATCTGAATGCCAGTTTGCAGTTAGTGGTGGGGGATTTCTCTCCACTGGATTCACCGCCGACACCCAAGCAAGAATAAATGTTTTATTTATTAAGGATGACGACGACGATCAACGGCACAAAACATGAGTGAGAGAGAGGCTGAGCGCATCCTCCATCAAGTTAAGTCATATTCATGAAAAAATGACTTTTTTTTGCGATGTCCTAAGAGTAATATCTTAATATCTTTTCAATGTTTAGGGGTAACGTACTCCCTCCTCATGACTGGTGCCAGTGCTATAAAGTGATGCATCAGCTTCAGCTTTTCCCCCCAAACGTCACTGCAGCTGTTGGCAGTTCCAGATAGCTCCGCCCTTGCGCCATAGCTCGTGACCGGAAGAGAAGACGAGTCGTTTTGAGGGGGAGGGAAGGTTAACGCTTTTGATTAAAGATTACGAGGGCACATGAATTAAAAAAAAAATAATGAAGTGCACGGATAAATTATTTATAATAAACGCTACAGTATTCCATCAAAAAATAAGAATTGTTCATTTTGATTTCATGCCGACTTTAAAGCTGCAGTCTGTAAGTTTTGCCTCTTTGTCGCCATCTCTGTTGGCGCCATCTCCGGCACGGCTCCAGTGCGGATGAATCTAATGTTTTGAGGAGTATGTGTGTGTGGCAGTCTGTCACCGCACCGGTGTGGATATTTACTGTACTTCGCAATCACAGATTCTAGCCTACGTCTTGGAATATGACCCAAATAAGAATTTTCACCGTATATTGCCATCTGAACAAGTAACAAGTCTGCCACGTTTGTTCTGACCAACTGGGGAAAAAGCATCACCATAAATCTTGCTACCAATGGTGATTAAATCTAAACATCGGTTAACTCATATCACATCAAACCGTGCAAATTATTATTATTGTTATACTTTATTCTCAAATGATTAATGTTAACAACATTCAATTTCTGTCCAGTCTAATATCTAATTGTCATACTCTTCGAATTTCATATTAAGAAATTCTTTTAACCCAAAAAGCAAATTATGCTCCCTTCGAACTGGATTTCTTTAAAATACAAATCTTTGTAATCACAGGCTATCTGTAATCAGAAGCACATTTATAACTGGAATATCTACAGTGTTGTAAATACATCTTAACCACTGATTTCTAGTCGTGTCCTCTTTTGGAAGACCAAACAAAGTAGTTTCGCTTTCACAACCAAGCACACAGCGTCTTCATGACATGGCGGCGGCAACAACAATACTTAAGCGAGAATAAAAGTGACTCCTTTCTTTGCGGGAACATTTGGGCGGCGTTATGCAAATCTTCCCACATAGTGACGTAGACATGTGGGGGCGTGTTTAAACGAGGCGTTTTAGGGCGGCGTGGACGAGTCTTAACTTTTATAGAATTTAAGAATCTTCTTAAGAATAACTCTTTGGATTTGAGACTTTAGTCTTTGCAACTTTAGGGATCTTATCTATGCATGAACAGCTTGTAACACTCCAAAGAGAAAGGAAAAATTTAAATTGCATCATATGACCCCTTTAATTATTATTATTTTTTTTTCAAATTCTGTTTTTTGTTTACATTTAAATTTTTCTGGATTCAGTTTTTTTCCATTTTTATTTTTCTAGACTGTTTTAATGGTAAATTAAATTTCATTAGTCAACAAACATGTCTAATTAATTGAAATCATGAAACTTACACAATTAAATGTCTAACAAAAATTAAATTTTAAGGCCCTATGAAATGCGTTTTATTTTTACCAAATTCTGTGTTTCCATTAATATTCTGGATTCTATATTAAAGGGGTCATATGATGCGATTTCAAGTTTTCCTTTCTCTTTGGAGTGTTACAAGCTCTTGGTGCATAAAGAAGATCTGTAAATTTGCAAAGACTAAAGTCTCAAATCCAAAGAGATATTCTTTATAAAAAGTTAAGAGTCAGCCACGCCCCCCTAAAACGCCTCGTTTAAACACGCCCCCACATGTCTACATCACCCCCCTGGGAAGATTTGCATAACGCTGCCCAAATGTTCACGCAAAGAAAGAAGGCGTAACTTTTATTCTCGCTGTAGTATTGTTGTTGCCGCCGCCATGTCATGAAGACACTGTGTGCTTCGTTGTGAAAGCTAAACTACTTTGTTTGGCCTTCCAAATGAGGACGATATCCACTTCGTCATGCCTGGAGCTGATCCGTGCTGGTCGCTGA